GCTCTGTCGCCCAGGCTGGAGTGGTGCAGTGGCCGGGTCTCAGCTCACTGCAAGCTCCGCCTCCCGGGTTTACGCCATTCTCCTGCCTCAGCGTCCCGAGTAGCTGGGACTACAGGCGCCCGCCACCTCGCCTGGCTAGTTTTTTGTATTTTTTTTAGTAGAGACGGGGTTTCACCGTGTTAGCCAGGATGGTCTCGATTTCCTGACCTCGTGATCCGCCCGTCTCGGCCTCCCAAAGTGCTGGGAATACAGGCTTGAGCCACCGCGCCCGGCCAAGGAAACACCTTAACGCATGGAAGCTGCGCATTGAAAGAGCAAATCACGGTTGCATTAGAATCGCTGGACTCCAAAGGAAGTCACCGATCCTTCCTGGCAGAAAGCGTGGATGACTTGGAAAGTCAACACGACTGTGCTCGGACTTAGCATTTTATGCCAGGAGAAAATGGCATTATGACTCACAGAAAAGGGACCTTCAGATGGGAAGGGCACAGACAGGCTACCCAGCAAGAGCCCGGTGAACCCCATTCCTCTGTGCCCTCCCTGAGGAACCTAAAAGCGAATGAGCCTCAGACAACTGACCAGAGAGAGGAGGGATGGGAGGAGGGTGTGAGCAGGTCAGTCTCACTGAGCACCGAACACGTCTCAGTCGGCCAAGATCTGCACATGACGGAGGGGATGCAGCCGAGAAAACAGGGGAAGGAGAACGGTTCGTGCAGCACAATCCAGGAGCCGTGCCTGGCAGTGGTAGCAGTAGCATTGTTACCCTGAGATCGCGTGTGCAGCCAGCAAGAGGGTCACAATGTAGGGTATCCCAGTTCCGCCATCTCCTGCGCCTATGGAATATCCCACTTCCGCCATCCCCTGTGTCTATGGGCCATCCCACTTCCGCCATCCCCTGTCTATGGAATATCCCACTTCCGCCATCCCCTGTGTCTGTGGAATATCCCACTTCCGCCATCCCCTGTCTATGGAATATCCCACTTCCGCCATCCCCTGTGGAATAGCCCACTTCCGCTATCCCCTGTGTCTGTGGAATATCCCACTTCCGCCATCCCCTGTGTCTGCGGAATATCCCACTTCCGCCATCCCCTGTCTATGGAATATTCCACTTCCGCCATCCCCTTTGTCTATGGTATATCCCACTTCCGCTATCCCCTGTGTCTGTGGAATATCCCACTTCCGCCGTCCCGTGTCTGTGGAATATCCCACTTCCGCCATCCCCTGTGTCTGTGGAATATCCCACTTCCGCCACCCCATGTCTATGGGGTATCCCAGTTCTGCCATCCCATGTCTATGGGGATCCCACTTCCGCCACTCCCTGCGTCTGTGGGGTATCCCAGTTGCGTCATCCCATGTCTATAGGATATTCCAGCTCTGTCATCCCCTGTGTCTATGGGGTATCCTACTCCCGCCATCCCCTGGGTCTATGGAATATTCCACTTCCGTCATCCCCTAGGTCTGTGGGGTATCCCAGTTCCGCCATCCTCTGTGTCTGTGGGATATTCCAGTTCTGTCATCCCCTGTGTCCTTGAGAACCAGGATTCTCCGTGGGGCAGAAGGGAGGTGCAGATGTCACAAAGAAAAGGCTAAATGCTTTTAAACACCGTAGTCCTGAATTTTTATGGGAAGTATCAGCGTGAACTGAGGAATTTTGTCTTAAAAAAAGAGCATTTCCGGATTTTGCTCTAGAAACATTATCTCCGGTGGAGAGAAACCTGGACTCGCTGGAGTAGTGGTGCTGCAGATGGGGCAGGAGGCGTAGGGTTAGAGCCTGGGGTGTAAGGGTTGGTCGCCCCCGCCCCCATGCCCTCGGGGCCTCAGCCGAGTTCTTCAGTTAGAGAAGGACAGTGATAGTGTTGGCCATGGATTAAATGTGGTAATCCACAGAACATATTTAGCCCAGGGCCAGGCGTCTGGGGACACTGCCCTCCCCCAAGGGTAACTGCTGCCACCATCGGAGTGGCCCCGGCCCTCATTGTTTCTTACTTTCTTAATTGAATGAGAACCCCTGTGCTCCTCGCTGTGCTCTTCTCTGGGAATTCGCTGAATCCCTTTAAAGATGGTGCTGTGAGGTGGAGACAACTGTTAGCCTCATCGCTCCTGCGAGGCTTCGGCTTTGGCGTCGGTTTCGGCTTTGGCTTCGGTTTTGGCTTTGACTGCGGCTTTGGCTGCGGCTGCGGCAAGCGGAGGGGCCCATCTTGGCCCATGCGTGGTGCAGACAGAAAGTCTTGTCAGAACCAGTCTGTGCCTGTGAAGCGCGGTTTCCTGGGCCTTACTGAGATGCAGCACGGGAATGTTTGCGCAGAGCCCAGGAATGTGCAAGATGTAAAAGAGCCCTGCTTTTTAAGTAATTAAACCCTGTCCATTTAACAGTGCTTAACTCATACTTAGAAAAAGTAGTGCAGAGATGCCTGTAGGGAAGCCAATTCGCCTACGGCCTAAAGCGGAAAGCAGCTCCCACCTCCTGCCCTCCCCCACTCCCGGTTTGCCTCTAGAGGAAGGAGCGCCTCCATGTACTCTTTGGGGATCTCTCTGGTTCTAGGTAAAGAGCTCACGCAATTGCTTTGCTAGTTGCGAATCTAATGGGAGTTGAGGACATGGCTCCCACATCCTCTCCCCACTCTCTGCGCACTGCACGCCCGCCCCAGTGCCCCATCTTAGCTGCCACTGTCACAAATTTTGTGTTCAGAATTCATGTCGTCATGACTGTAAATGCTGTTCATAGCTGAGTCACAGGCAGCATTGGTATACTTTATTTCTTCACAACCTCGGAAACAAAGCAATTATTTTAATTAAAGGGGGAGAAGCACTTGTAAGGTTCAGATAGAATGGCTCGGTTTATGGTGACAAGCAAATCTCTTTCCTCTCCGTCCCTTTCTGTCCCCTTCAGTCACACCGCCTCGAGGCAAATAGCTTTGATGTTTGTTTTTAATTCTCTCTATATCTTTAAGTAATGAGCTTATAACGTACAACATTTTAAAATGTTGACAATGCAGCGGGCTCCATGCCATCTCTCCAAAAGCTTCCCCCCTTCCTGACTTCACCTGGAGTTTTTTTCTTCTGCCACAGGTGATTCAAGAGCCATATTCGAATACTCTGCCTTGGAATAGTGATTCTCACACTGGAGCTGGCATCAGAATCACCTGGAGGGCTTGCTGAAGCACAGGCCCTGGCCAGGACTTCCTCATATAGTGGGTCTGGAGGGAGGCCTGAGCATAGCGTTTTTGTTTTGCTTTGTTTTTAGATGGAGTCTCTCTCTGTCGCCCAGGCTGGAGTGCAGTGGTGTGATCTCGGCTCACTGCAACCTCTGCGTCTCGGGTTCAAGCCATTCTCCTGTCTCAGCCTTCCAAGTAGCTGGAACTAAAGGCATGCGCCACCACGCCCGGCTAATTTTTGTATTTTTAATAGAGACGGGGTTTCGCCATGTTGGCCCGTTTAGTCTTGAACTCCTGACCTAAAGTGATCCACCCGCCTTGGCCTCCCAAAGTGCTGGGATTACAGGCGTGAGCCACTGCTCCCGGCCGTGCATAAATGTTTTTAATATGTTCTCTGTGGTGCCGATGCTACTGGTCGCAGGATCCCCCTTAGTGGAGCACTCCCTCAGCGTGTAGGGTGTGCTGCACGTGGGGTGGGAGATTTAGCGGTGGGCGGCTGCAGTTATCAGTAGATGGCTGTCTGTTGGACCCAGACTACTAATGCGCTTCTGGGCATTGCCACTTTGCAGTTGTGTAGCTGTGGGCCGTGACTCGACTCCCTAGTGCCTCAGTTTCTCCCTTGTAAAGGCTCAGTTTCGTGCTCCCACCTTATGAGGACCTGATGCTGAAGTGTGTAGCACAGGGGGACGTCATGGCCCTTCCTTGCGTGTTTGCCAGCGTGGCATCTGGGATGGTGTTTGGGCTCTGTGCTGGGCACCATGCCAGGTGTTGGGATAGAGACTTAGGAGCTTACAGTCTAGTAAGGTCAGGAGTGAGAATGTTGTAATTGTGATTCACGCTTTGAAAAAACCCTGTGGGGTGCACCTGGGGTGCTCACGGGGGTCAGAGATGCACCTGCTGAGGCCTTCCCACCTGATTCTGTTGCTCTGGACCAGGCCCCAAGGGAGAGCAAAGGTAGAAGCTGCACACGGACCCTTCTCAGGAGTGCAGGAGCTGGGGAGGAGGCAAGCCCATCCCTCCTGGGAGATCCCCCAGGGCAGGCCTGGTGCAGATGCGTGAACGGCCTCCTTGGCTGCTGGAAGGGTGTCCTCAGTGTAAAGATGAGCAGGCAAAGCCCTGTGTGCCCGAATTGTCCTCACTGAGGAGACAGGAGCCCCCACACCCAGGGGCTGGCGAGAGCCTCTGTGATGGAGGCCACGTTGAGCCAGGTTTTACTTCCAGGTTGGGAGGCGGGGCTTCATGCTCCTCTCCAATCCCATTACCTGTCTGCTCCCCCCTGTCTGCAGCCAGCATTGTCCTCCTGGAGCCCGAATGTGGCACATCACTCCCTGGCAGGCACGTCTTCAGGGTGCCAAACCCACTCCCTGGCTCAGGTCCAGGTGTCCAGGGCTGCATCCCAGCCCTGCGGCCTCTCTGCCCAGTGGAGCCTTTGCCCGTGGGCCTTCCTCATGCTCTGTCCTCGGCGTCCAGGCTGGTGTTTTGGGTTTCAGGGGTCCTTTCCTGGGAGCCTTCCGTGGATCCCGCCTCTCGCCCATGCCTCTTATGTTGACTGGTTGTTTACAGATCAGACCTTCTGTGTCTGCGGTCATTGTTCTGGAGGTTGGGGGTAAACTGAGGGTCTTAACTCTCACAGAGCAGAGGTTTTAGCTGGGGAGACGGGTAGTAACTACTTAGTAAAATGCAGGGAGTGATGCGCGCTCTAAGGACACCAGGGCAGGTCCCGCGCCAGGGGGAGCCTGGAAAGGCTCCCTGGTGAGCGAGGCACTGGAGGCCGGCGTAGCAGCGGAGGCAGGAGTGGAGACCTTGCCTCTCTGACTCACGTCCCCCTATCCTCTTGCCTTCCAGTGGACATCCTTATCATGGATGACGACGACGTCCCCAGCTGGCCTCCCACCAAGCTGTCCCCGCCCCAGTCTGCGCCCCCAGCCGGCCCCCCTCCCCGGCCGCGGCCGCCCGCCCCCTACATCTGCAACGAGTGTGGCAAGAGCTTTAGCCACTGGTCCAAGCTGACGCGGCACCAGCGCACGCACACCGGGGAGCGGCCCAACGCCTGCGCCGACTGCGGCAAGACCTTCTCGCAGAGCTCACACCTGGTGCAACACCGGCGCATCCACACGGGCGAGAAGCCCTACGCCTGCCTGGAGTGCGGCAAGCGCTTCAGCTGGAGCTCCAACCTCATGCAGCACCAGCGCATCCACACGGGCGAGAAGCCCTACACCTGCCCCGACTGCGGCCGCAGCTTCACGCAGAGCAAGAGCCTGGCCAAGCACCGGCGCTCGCACAGCGGCCTCAAGCCCTTCGTGTGTCCGCGCTGCGGCCGCGGCTTCAGCCAGCCTAAGAGCCTCGCGCGTCACCTGCGGCTGCACCCGGAGCTGTCGGGGCCCGGCGTGGCGGCCAAGGTGCTGGCGGCCAGCGTCCGGCGGGCCAAGGGGCCCGAAGAAGCGGTGGCGGCGGACGGCGAGATCGCCATCCCGGTGGGCGACGGCGAGGGCATCATCGTGGTGGGCGCGCCGGGCGAGGGGGCGGCGGCCGCGGCAGCCATGGCGGGAGCAGGGGCCAAGGCCGCGGGGCCCCGGTCGCGGCGCGCCCCGGCCCCCAAGCCGTATGTGTGTCTGGAGTGCGGGAAGGGCTTCGGGCACGGGGCCGGGCTCCTGGCGCACCAGCGGGCCCAGCACGGGGACGGGCTCGGGGCGGCGGGGGGCGAGGAGCCGGCCCACATCTGCGTGGAGTGCGGGGAGGGCTTCGTGCAGGGCGCCGCGCTCCGGAGACACAAGAAGATCCACGCCGTGGGCGCGCCCTCGGTCTGCAGCAGCTGCGGACAGAGCTACTACCGGGCCGGGGGGGAGGAGGACGACGACGACGAGGCCGCGGGCGGGCGGTGCCCCGAGTGCCGCGCTGGGGAGGGCCGGTAGGGGAGGGGCCCGGGGGGGGGCAGGGCCCCTCGGGCTTGGCGGGAACGACCATGTGCAAGACCCAGAGACCCAGGGAGAAGCGGATGGGGTGCGATGGACCCCGCGGCGTCCCGAGCTCCACGCCCTCCTCTGTCCCCGTGCCGTCCACGGGGGGCACTGGGGGGCATTAGGGCCAGTTCACTTCTCCGCCTCGACTCTGCCCCCCTCAGCCTGGCCCGCCCTTCGTAGGTTCTCGGCCTGCGAGCCGGAGACAGACAATGGAGAGAACTGTAGAGGCCGAGCGGCTACCAGGCCTCAAGTGGAAGGCCATTTTCCCTCCTCTTCCTCAGTTGTCCTGGGTGGGGGTGGGGGTGCTGCGAGGAGTGGAGAAACCAGGCCCTTTGCGTTTAGAGGGTCCCAGAGAGGGAAGGGAAATAGGGGCCCTTTTCTCTTTTAGAGTTTTCTTTTATTCAGCCCACCTTTTGACTCTCCCCGCCCACCCCAATCCATTTTTTTTTTTTCCGGCTTCCGGGTCCCGTCCTTTCTTAGAGCTCGAGTCGTTCCTTCCCCTCCTGGATTCCGGGTAGCAGAGGTGGCCCCTGTGCCCAGCAGAGCCCCGCAGGAGGCGGGTGCCCGTTTGTCCCAGGCCTGGGCGTGGTGGAGGAAGGGGTGCTAGAACAATAAATGGCACTATCCAAATGCCCCTCTCTGCGTGGTTCTTGAGTCCGGGAGAAGGGCAAGAGGGGTAAACAGAGGCTTCCCCTGGGGCAGCAGCAGCAGAGTGTCAGCTGCGCCCGGGGAGTGGCCGGTTGGGTCGCCCGCGGAGGGCCCTGGGGAGGGCGACCTGTCCCGAGATCGCCTCACTGCAGTGCGGGCGCTCACAGGGCCTGGGAGCCCTTGTAGATGGGGCAGGGCGGACTGGTCGGGGCCAGGCCTGCCCACTACAGTGGAAGGAGCGCCGCGGCCTCTGCTGCCTTCCTCCACTCCTGTTGTGTGGCTGCCAGCACCTGCCTGACGGACTTGGTCCCATAGAGCCGCCGCAGCCGCCCGGCCAGATGAGCGCTGCTGTTCATTATCAGAAGGGGGCTCTACCACGGCGACTGGTTTCCCAGACCCACAGCCCCAGTCCTGAGGACCCATGTTCCTGGGGGCTTGGGCGGCCACAGGGAGGGTCCCAACGGGGTATTTTCAACGTGGCTGAAGGCCGCAATTACTCAGGAGCGATTGGAGGTGGCAAGCTGCAGGCATCTTTGACTTGGGGGTTTCATAGCAGAGGGGGACTCGAAGAAATGGGGACTTCCAGTTAGAGCTCTTGATCTGCCCTTTCACACCCTGATGTGCTTGAGCAGGGTCCTGGGGCCTCACTTGGAGGATAGGGGCTCAGAAACCAGGGCCGCTGATGGTGTACAGATCCTGGAGGATTTGTTAGAGGACTAGGGAGGGGTCGTGGGTGAGAAAAGCATGTTCTCAAGTGGCCACACTGCCTTGCTTAGGTAATTGCTATTGCATGTCAGTTTATTTTGAAATGTCAGGTCACTCAAAAGGAGGGGGTGAACCTTGGTGGTTCAGAGTGGGCTGGGTTAGCAAAGACTGAGGAAGCATTGCTCAGTGCTCCAAGAAGCATTGCTCAGTGCTCCTAGGGGCCTTCTGTGGAGCTCTGCCTTGGGCACTTCTCGAGGCCTGGGAGGATGGCAGGGGCCCTGTCTGTCCAGTAGAACTGGCAGCTCGGTGCCTTGGTAAGTCGGGCACACTGAGTCTTGGGCCAGCCTCCTCCTCTACCTGCCCCAGGATATGGTGGCAGGAGCTGACACCTAGAGCAAGAAAGATTCAGGGCCAGTTTCCACCCTGCCTCTTAAGGCTGTGTGACCTTGGGCAAGTGGACTAACCTCTCTCACCCTTGGCTTCCTTGCCCTGTGGAAAGAAGAGCTTGCCTGCCTTGTGTGACTGTTTGTGCAGGGGGGATCCCCAAGCCACGTGTTAACTCACTAGAGCTGCCCTCCCAGGCGTGAGCAAAGATGCAGGGCGAGGAGCCAGGCTCAAATCCCGGCTCTGCACTACTCATCCCCCTTCATAATACAGAACTCAGCGAGTTTACATGACCGCCATGACACCAGACTGCACCGGACCCAGCGCTAGACCTGTACTTTGGTGTCATACGCCAGCCGTCACCGATTCATGCACTCGGGTAGTCATCGCCCACCCCTCACTCACTCATTCCACAAATGTGTTCAGGGCAGCAGCTCCGTGCCCAATGAGCATGGCACGGGTCTCAGGTTAAAGAAAGGAATGCGGGTTCCCGTGGCACTTGTGTCAGCCCTGTAGCGCACCTGCATTGGAGCTGCTCACCCACGGCAATGTGAGGCTGGGCAGCCGCTTCATGTCACGAATCCACTGTGGCAGTGACCGCAGAAGTTCCTTTGGCCCCCACTCCTCTCCTGCTCACTTTGGTGGAGGGCACGCACAGACTCATTCACGCCCCTTACAGAGTCCAGTCCTCGCAAAGGCCCTGTGTGGTCGGCCTCATTCCTCGACTGCTGCTGCTGAAGCTGGTGTAAGGAGAAGAAGCAGTCTGCCCAGGCTACTGGTTTGTAAAGTGGTAGAATCTGGATCTGGATCTGGATCTAAAGTCCCGACACCCATGCCCCCCCACCCCTGGCCCCCTGCTGAGTTGATGATCCACTTAATCTTAGATGTTTCTCGGGCACTTCTTTCCTGCGAGGGACTCTACTAAGCATGGGGGCACAGCAGTGACCTCAACAGGCACAATCTCTGCTGTCATGGTGGCTGGGAGTGGCTGGGAGGGGACACACACAGCTAAGGGCTGAAGGGACAAAGACTCCCAGGAGGCAGGAAGTGAAGGAGTCCTGGGCATGGAGCAGGTGTGACAGGCAATTCCAGGGGAGTGGGGGCCAGACGGGTGAGTGGAAAGGGACCCTCCACCCAGCTTACTCCCCAGCCTGAAGGCAGAGTTCATCTGGAAATGTTTACTCGGTATATCCCCATTTCCCTAAGGGTAGCCTAGAGAGTGTTCCAGGGAATATTGACAGGATGTTTGGAGAAAACAGGATCTTGTGTTCAAATAACCTGAGAAAAGACTAGATTCAATTTTTTTTTTTTTTTTTTTTGAGATAGAGTTTCACTCTGTCACCCAGGCAGGAGTGCAGTGGTATGATCTTGACTTACTGCAATGTCTGCCTCCTGGGTTCAAGCAATTCTGTCTCAGCCTCCCAAAGTAGCTGGGATTACAGGCACCCGCCACCACACCCAGCTCATTTTTGTATTTTTAGTAGAGATGGGGTTTCACCATGTTGGTCAGGCTTATCTTGAACTCCTGCCCTCAGGTAGTCCACCCACCTCGGCCTCCCAAAGTGCTGGGAGCCACTGTGCCCTGCCGGATTGAAGTTTTCTCATCCACAGAACAGTACTTGGCAGGTGGAAGGTGCTGAGCCAAGATTCAGTTGACTGGATGAATTATAAAACTAGCTCCCCACACACCCACCCAGCCCAGAGCTTTTCACTATGATTCTGTTTAACCGGGTGGGGCTGGGGGCCAGGGCAGGGGTAGGTGATAACATGCAGCATTTTCTGAACTTGTTCTGTCAGAAAACCTTCCATTTATAGAGCATGTTGGGGCTGGTGTTCTCCAGGCCATCCTTAGAGAAGTGCATGCATGTGAATCGTGTGTGTCTCTCTGCATGTATGAGTGCTTGTCTGTATGTCTCCGTGTGGATGGTGTGTCTGTATCTTTGTGCATATGTATGTGTGTCTGGTATATATCCACCCATCCTTCTCATATCTACCGCTCAAAGAGGCTGTGGGTGGGGACGAAGTTGCCTCTGGCACCACTGATTTTGCCTCCTCTCCTGCCTTGATGGACAAGTCTATCCAGAAATTCCCTATCTTCTGGTTCCGGTCTTTCAGCACCATGGACAGAGAATCCCCCCATTTCCCCCTCCCCCGCCCCCCAGCTGGGTCTCAGATGATGGAGCTCAGTTTAATCCATCTGCATTCCCTTTTAAAGCCTCCTGGCCACTTCGAAGAGGGTATTGTTCCCATTTTACATATAAGGGAACAGAGGCTTTGGGGAGGTTAAACGTTTCTCCAGGCTCTCACAGCTAAGTAGCAGAGCTTAATAGAATCTAATGCCAACATTTGTATCAGTCTGTCTGTACCTTATGGGATGCTTGTGAAGTGGGGTGGCCACTAGCCATGACAGTAAGTAGACTGTGGACGGACAGCCTCATTCAGGCTGGTGGGGACTCTGCCAGGGGTATTTGGATCAGTGATTGATGTCTGGTCACAAATAAGATTTTTTTTAAAAAAGTAATGGATACTTGGAGGAAGAGATTACTTACCAAATCTCAACTCCCAGATTCCTCATTCCTCTCCCTGCATTATCCCTTGAAATACTCAGTGAATCTACAAGTGGGTTTTAAAAATAAATTCATCAAGCTGGGCACAGTAGCTCACGCCTGTAATCCCAGCACTTTGGGAGGCCAAGGCGGGCAGATCACCTGAGGCTGGGTGTTCGAGACCAGCCTGACCAACATGGAGAAACCCCATCCCTAATAAAAACATAAAATTAGCCGAGTACGATAGTACATGCCTCTAATCCCATCTACTCGGGAGGCTGAGGCAGGAGAATTGCTTGAACCTGGGAGGCAGAGGTCGCGGTGAGCTGAGATCACACCATTGCACTCCAGCCTGGGCATCAAGAGTGAAACTGTCTCAATAAATAAATTTATCAAATGAAAGCCATTCATTGCATATTATTCTGCCCCTTGCATATGTATCAATCTCTATCGTCATGTTTTATGTATCATGTATGTATCAACTATATTATCTATCTACATGTTATCATTTATATACCAATCCATTATCTTCTATTGTCATTCTATCTCTGCATCAATTATCTATATCTGTCATCTATATGTAGCTATCATTTATGTATTAGTCATCTATTATTGCACCATCTATCCATGTGTCTATCAATCATCTATAATTTGTTATCTACCTGTATCATGTATCATCTATTATCTACTTACGTAGATATGTAACAATTTATCATCTACCTCCGTAGTACATATCTGTGATCTTCCTATCTTCACTACCTATTATCAGTAATCTATTTGTGTACTATATCTGTTATCTATCATCTATCTTTAGCTATCATCTATGTATCTATCAACTATACCTATTTATGTATCTACCTATGATTGTTCCAGAGAGAGAGGCCTATCTACATATCTACATTTTTTTTTTTTTTTTTTTTTTTGAGACGGAGTCTCGCTCTGTCACCCAGGCTGGAGTGCAGTGGCGCGATCTCGGCTCACTGCAACCTCCACCTCCCGGGTTCATGCCATTCTCCTGCCTCAGCCTCCCGAGTAGCTGGGACTACAGGGGCCCGCCATCGCACCCGGCTAATTTTTTGTATTTTTAGTAGAGATGGGATTTCACCGTGTTAGCCAGCATGGTCTCCATCTCCTGACCTTGTGATCCACTCGCCTTGGCCTCCCAAAGTGCTGGGATTACAGGCCTGAGTCACCGCCCCTGGCTGCCTACCTACATTTCTTATTTTAAAAAACACTTTTAAAGCATTCCTTTGTGCAGATACAGTGTTTAATTCCTGACTGATGTGCAGTCTGTCTGCTTCTAGTCTTCTGCTACTGTAGCAATGCAGCAGGAAGAATCCGATCTGACC